TGACAGTAATGATAAAGCTACAGACATTGGTGCTGTTATGATTGTGAGAATATATCTTATCGTTCATATTCATTATTTATTAATAATACTCTGGAGATGAGATCTGCAGGGTGCTAGGATTTTACTTTGTTTATCAATATAAACTACATAATTATTTTCTTCATGTTAACAAAAAAAATTAAATCATAACAGGTGTGATAATACAACTGAAGAGAAATTATAATCAAGAATTGCTATGGAATGTTCAGTACTTAATCACATTTTGTATTGTAATTCATCTTCATCAAATGTAACATACATTTATTTATTTTTTCTAGAGCTTCTGTGTACAACAGTTTATAATGTGTGATGTGTGTAACAAGAGTGCTATCCTTGCACAGTTTTTCAGACTTGACTTTTTTGTATGTGTTTTGAATTGTGTTCATGTTTGTTTCACATGTAATATGTGTTTTTATCATTTTAGATGTTCACTACATTGTCAGCTTTATCATTTCAGTTTCTTTATATTCAGTTTACTGATTTGAAACCAAGATGTCTATGTTAATATACTAATGAAGTATTTGTATATCAGATATCTATTTCAGGTCATGAACTTATTGATACCTTTTGAAGGGTGAAGATGATGCTTTTAATTCTTATGGTAAAACTGATGTATTTGGTGGAATTAGAGTGTCATGCCCAACTGCAATGCAGTGTGTTATCATTTCTGTCCACAATTATGTTAATATGGAAGAAGTGCAAAAATGCATTGAAGTAGGGAAGGGAGTGACAGTGCTTGATGGGAGTTATTTGGAGTGTGCACCCTTTTATTGTGATATTTTCTTTAGACATAGGATTACATTTTTGTTGTAAACATTTGTTTTCACATCTAGGATTACTGTAGGAGTATTGGAATCATTATCACTTGTTTTTGTTCTTTTCAGGAAAGAACAGTAAAATCAGTAGCTCCAGTTCCCTATTCGTATTCAGCAAAGGTCTGTTTGTATATCAGCTGTAGATAAGGGAAATTGTATTTATATCCTGAGTGGATGAAAGTTTGTGCATTGGAAATGTATGAATAATATGATTGGCAAGTAGTGTGATAAATAGTACAATCGTTTGTAATGGAGTATGCACATTGAAGGTTATTTGATGTCAACGTATTGTCCTATTCCACCAAGAAGGTTGAATTGATACTCTCTGTATACTGTAGTAGGAAGTCAGTGTTTTGTACACATAGCACACACAGTAGGATCAAGGGATTTTAGAATTGAAAGATGATATATTATAGCTCACATTATTAAACAAGTAGTAGCTATATATTCTCTATAGATTATAAAATGGACACTGAAGTGCTGCACAAGTTAACATATTTTTATACTTTTTATTCACATGGGTAGTTAGCATATATTTTTATAAATATGTATTCTATTCACATGATATATATATAAATGTGTGTGTTGGAAATCTGTTTTACAGAGTACACTTTTATATAACGATATTCATCTCGGTTAATAGTAATAGGCTATTAAAGATTGTGACACTTACATGGGTATTTCTTTCCTTTTAGACATTGCTTAATCATACTTTGAGATATTATACTTATAATATAACACAAAACAGTTTGTACAGTCAGCTAATAAAGTTAATTATTATATTGCATTTTATACATTTGCAGTAAAAAAATTCTAGATTTTAAAAATATCAGTCAATGTGCATGTATGTGCATATGTATGTATATGTGTGTGCGTACATGCGTGCATACATGTGTGTGTGTACATATATACTAACACATATATATATAAATATAATATATATAATATGAATATATTATATATAATATATATATATATATATATATATATATATCTAAATATGAATATATATATAATATATATATATGCACTGCACTGGCAAGTGCCCTTGGCTCAACCTGAAAAAAGGCAAAGAAGGCGAAGCCAAAGATGACCCCAACCGCAGAAACCAGCAAGCCGACAGGCAAAGCCTTTTTCAAAAGAAAAATTCCAGACGCGTGGTGCGGATTTCAGCCAGTGCAGAAATACACAAAGTCAACTTTCGCGGTTTTTGAGGGCTCAGAAAACTAGGTTCGCATTGGGCTAGCAACTTGAAAATATTTATCCAGACACACTTTTTAGATGTCAAGAAATTTCCAAAATATAGAGAAAGGCAATTACCACTTTATTTGAGCCAACAAATCTCAGCAACCACTAAGGAGACATAATTGACCACTCATATGGAAGGTCTCACAGAGGACTGTGCTTTAAGATATAAATGAAATTGCTACCAAGTAAAGGGAATAGGTTATGCATGCATATGTAAAAAGTTATACATGCATATGCAAAATAGGAGGGGGTACCATATCTCAGCTTCTGAATAAAATCTAACCTCTTTCTATGTGGCATTAGAAAGCTCTCATTGAGTAAACAAAATTACCAAGCTAAAAGTTCATTCCAACATAAGACCTTGGAGTTGTATAGACATTTTTAACAAATCATCACTG